ATTCACTACTTTCATCATCCCTAAAACCGTTGATGATATATTGTTATCCAGGTATATTAATTACTGTCTATGGAAACAGTTCATTAATCAACAAAACTATGAGAGACAACTCCTCATGGCCGTTCGAAATTTCCCCCTTGTCTGCCCTGAAACGAGGTCATGAGTTGACACACAGTTCTTGTATGTTCACATTCATTCACACAGATCAATCAGCTAGGCATATTGTTGTTGTCTGTTGTCGCCTTCCGATTTCTGACCCATTCCCCTCCCTCATCCTCGGTTTCTCCTATTCCGATTCGTTGTCCAATAGAGATTGATCATCTGGGTAAATGCCGTAAGCATCAATAATCGCAACAACAATGGGATGGGGTGGGGGTGGTGACACACATCAGACGGTTATTGAGAGATTTTGCTAAGTAGTAGATATGCTCTGCAGGCATCACAAACCGGTCGCGTTGATCGAGCAAATTCACGCCATTTTTCCCGTGCTTCATATGACTGATATCATATAAATAGAGCGATCAACTATTTGATGTGTACCATTGTATCAGTAGGACATGCATGGTGCCCTTTGATGATGATGATGATGATGATGATTGTACTCCAATTACAGGGTTGAAGTGTTTGCGCGTAAAATGTCAAAGCTTCATTGTCTTCCTTTTTTGTTTGCGCTTTGCACAACTCCGTTCCAATACAACTGAAAAAAGAAAAAATTTCATGGGATATTTGAATCTTGTTGATTTATCAAAACTCCTTCCTTTTGCTACATCATTTCAGACTAAATGCAGGCTGTTCTGTGTCATGTTATACTGTGTGCATGTGCGCTGTGTTTTATCGTGATGTGATAATCCTTTTTTTTCTCTCTCCCTTAAGTTATGCTTAATTTCTTTATATTTTTTATAAATATGTGTATAGGGGAAGGGGAGAGAGCCGTATTCAACTCTGACCAAAACTTACCCCACCTGTAGATGATGAAATTTCCGGTAGTTTGAACTCAAGATACCCTAGCCACATTGCAAAAGTCATTGCATCACACACACACACACAGATCTTTTGTCTGAATGAATGCGTTTGGCAGACACTTTGTTTTTCCCCATCACTGCATCATTGCTCGATGCTATTTGTTTGCCTGACAACCTTATCCTCCCCGCCCCGTGTATCATTTTATCCGCGAACAGAATTCGGTAAGGTTTTATGCATTGTTTGTGCAGTTTGCTCTCTCTCTCTCTCTTTCTCACTTTTTCGGTATTCCTCAGCTAGAACCTTCGAGTCGCATTATTTTCCCAGTCGTAATGCAGCTTGCTTGCATTTGATGTGCCTAACGACAGTTTTCAATGGTTGAAAGTGTGTGAATTACTCTTTACATTCGATACCGAATTTCCAACACGGAAGTTTTTACATGAAACAGGGACAACACGTATGGTTAATTCCAAGTTCCTATCGGAAATTATAGTCCGTATATCAGATCTGCGATCGTCCAACCACGTGATATTTCAGCGGTTATAATTTATTGAATTGATTGATCAATAAAACGTGAAGGTACTGTAAATTTCGTTGGAATCTATACCAATTTCTTAGTTGATTAGTAGAGAGCAATGACACACCTATAGAGATAATCTCTGGTCGAGGTTTATTTGGCCCAGTACGTGAAAAATTCCAATGATGATCGCAGTTTATGCACGAGTTACTTACCTTTTACTCCGATTGACCTCTATCCCTCAGGAAACTGACGTAATAGCAGCAGAGTTGTGGGACATAAAGCAAGCAATTTCCGAGCTCGTCTTTGGATGATAAAAACTTTCAATAAACACTCAATAATCGTTGCCGATTAAAATATTTAAAATCACTAATAAATAGTTTCATACCTGTGTACATTTGGGGACATCCTGTCTGCTTTTGTTCTGGTTAGTGATCGTGATGGTACACATCGCACAATTATCTGCTTCTTATCTTTGTGAACACTCAGCTGGTTATCTTCTAAAATCTATCCCCGGGTTTTCGATTTTGTTTCCATATTCTACTTCACAAAATATCATACCGACTTGACAGAGACGACAAAATTGTGATCATGTGAGTAATGGAGGGTTTGATTCAATTTCAAAGATGAATTCGTTGTGTATACGACAAATTAAGCGTGAACTGAAAAACTATATCGTGCTATATTGTGTAAATAGTAGAAAACGCAAGACGGTCGGATCAGCCGCCTGGCGGCCGAGTGGATAGTATGCTTGCGTTCTGCCTGTGGGTCCCGGGTTCGACCCCCAGTGGGGTTGATGGATTCGCACTGCTGATGAGACTCAGTTAGGCCGGAACAGCTAGCTGTGCAGTAGTGCTTCCCAGTTTTTCAGTTCACGCTTCGTTTGCCATTAACACACCACGAATTCACCTTTGAAGATCGCGATCCTTGACGGGTGATGTTAGGAAGTGGCTCGTAGTCGGATGGAGCACATTTAACATTGGCGATTAGTTCCTTTGTGACCCACAAATACCACAACTTTTAGAGTTTGATACTCTTCCCCTCCCCCCCCCCTGTTCACGCTATACAATCATTAGACTCAGATTTGTACGATCCCTAGCATAAATCTTTGTTAATCTCTCCCCCAACTTTTTCCCGTACAGCCGGATGAGGCAGGTCTGACGGCTCATTTTGCTCTGGAACATCACTTGGTCGGTCGACACTCCCAATTGGACGCTGCTTTCACACCCAATGTGTGCCCCTTAACCGATACAAAATCTACGCAACGCCGTCGTTATTTGGCTGTGGCCTGTCAGGACCGTCGTCTACGGATTTACAATATCACAACCGGTCGACCGGTTCGGTGCTATCGGGGCAGTTTCAACGAGGATGGTTGTCTGGTGCGTTGCACTATCGATCCAACCGGATCGATTGTGGCCACTTCAGGTTTGTTTATCCCCCAATTTCACAGTCATCTCACTTCTGCTCCCACTACTGTTATTTAGACCATTTCGCCCCATTTCTCATTTTTTGACCATATACTTGTGTCACTTAATTGAGCTGACTATCCTTGGTACTTCACCTTCCCGTACAGTTCTCAGTTCTTCTAGTAAATCACACACTCGGAAGCGTTATAGACTCTTATTTCGCTCTTATTAGAGCTCATCAGTAGTGTATATCCACCGTCCGGGCTCTGAACTCCAGACCCATCGGGCATAGTGTGTGTGTGTGTGTGTGTTACTACTGTGCCAACCAGCTCATACGAGGGCTGAGCCGAATTTCGAATACATGTTTGTTCAGGTGTCGTCTTCAAAGTTAATCAATCAGTCTGGGCCCGATAGCAGAGATGAAATATCGTATCTGACCTATTGGAGACCAAAATATAATTTATATAGTATATCTTCCAACTTTTGGTCACTCATTCTGATCTATGCTCGTACCTGAATTGCTTACAGGTTCGGACAAACAACTCAATCTATTCCATCTTCTCACGGGCGAATCCATTGCCACACTGTGCGGACATTCTGAGCTGTCCTTGGGATTGCGTTTCCTGCCGGATTTACGTCGTTTGGTCAGTGTAAGTTCAGACAGTTGCGTGTTCGTTTGGCGTCTCGCTCCTGGCCTGACGCAACACTTGTGCACAAGGACCAGCATCGGGGCCAAACGCACACACTCGTTCACCGGGACTATGGATAGTCTATTGCACCCGGTCGCTCCGTTGCGCTGGCCCCGGTCCGGGCGAGCTGCACAAACTGAGGATGAAGATGAGGCCATCACGGAAGCATCCTCGTGGACCAATGATTCGTCTGTCCCCATGCTGAGACGACCCGGTTCTCGTTATCCGACCGATGTGGTCGGTCACAGTATTCCACTGGATGATGATAGCGAGATGGATTTGTGTCAGCTGGACACGGAAGATCTTTTGCCGCAAGACTCATTGCAAGAGAGCGGTTTTGGGGACTTGCACGATGGAAGGTAATTTCACTAATGTGTCATTGACTCCGCGAAACAATCAAATGCTGGAGATATGCTGTATTATATTTTGTGGAAATCATTACGTGTTCACGGTGATTCATTCGGCGAAACAAATAGCTGTCAGGCACAAGTTCATTTGACTGTGGTCTCCCCTGTCCGATTGTCTCAGCCTGACTACTGTTTGAAAGTTAGTAGTCTGATCACTACGTTTCACGTATTAGTTTCATGTCCACAGATCCCGTGCAAATGACATGTTTCAAACTGAGTCGTGTTTTGCACCGGAAACCTCTGTAGCTTGATGGATGCGTCCATGTTCACGCGTAACATGTATTCCATCCGATTCAACTCTAGCACCTGTCTAGCTGGTCTGTGAAGGAATTCAACAGACAACGGGGCTGAAAAGTGCTTCACTTATTTCGTCTCATTTTTTTTGTTCATGACTTCCACACTCATGATTGTGGTGCCGGGTGTACACCAACACCCCCGCCCCCTCCCCACCCAGGTACTCGATCTGGACCGGTCAGGTAGGTAAACGGCATCACACTAAAAGGGATCGACAACTTTTTCACGCACAACTCAGTGCGTGCACGACCCCGGCCGTATCGGCTAATACGGTACCGATGGACTCAGCTAGTGCGATTGCTACTTTCGACGGAAATGTGACACGGGCCTTGTTGTGCGCGTGTACTTTCCGCACGAGTTTCTTATTTCCCGCCCACATCGGTGCTCATTCGAACCGAAATCCAATACGGGGTTCACGTAACCAGATTCCTTGATTAACAGTCAAATTGATACTATCGTGTACTCTCTGTGTGCATACACACCTATCCGCACAGTGGATTTGACCACGTGCCCATTCCAGATCGTCATTTCCGTTGCCGAACTATACTCAAAAATCTATAGGGTAGTTGAAAGTCGAATCTCTTACATGTCCTATTACGTGCATTT